TGAAGTGGCTGGATTAGCACGGGAAGTGACCTGTGTGGGCAGGTGTTCAGGCACTGAAGTGGCTGGATTAGCACGGGAAGTGACCTGTGTGGGCAGGTGTTCAGGCACTGAAGTGGCTGGATTAGCACGGGAAGTGACCTGTGCGGGCAGGTATTCATGTCGACACGGCGTAAGCAGATACCTGGGCTCCCTGGAAACCCCATCTCTGATTTTCCCAGCATCTTGCTCTACTAATTCTGGGTCGCAGTGCCCCTTACCCACCCCCACGAGATGCACATGGCAGGTTGCAGGGGGCTGAGGATCTGCAGGATGCCGGTGGCTAATGACATTACCACCCCCACCCCCGGGTCTGTATGTTGGGCCAGACTGAAGACATACCAACTCAATCTTGGATGCCAGAGAATAATTCTGGATACATGGAGTCATTTGGTATAATAGTACCATTCATGGGAAGAACGACGACTGCCGCTTCGAAAGCCGAGAGAGAAGAAGCTCTGCTAACGACACATTGATGTTGCTTTAAATAAGGCGGCACTCTCTTTACCTGCAAGATGTGCTTCTCCACAAAGCCAGCGACTCCGGTGCAGACAAATGCCACAGATGTTTGCTCATGCGTGAATGTTAAGAGCATATTAAATATAACGTAAGCTGGAGAACAGGGTTTGTCATTGTTTGTAAGATTCTATTTTAACTCTTTAATTTAATTATATAGGCTTATGTTTATTCTTATATTATATACCCATTATGTATGTTTTATTGGTAAAAGTTTATCTTGAGGAGAGGTGGCACAGTGGTGAGGTTGTTGTTACCAAGTTGCCTGTGTCTGTGAATGCTGCGTCTGTGAATGCTGCGTCTGTGAATGCTGCGTCTGTGAATGCTGTGAGTGTGTGTGAGCCCTGCAGTGGGTCAGCACCCCATCCTGGGTTGTTCGCTGCCTTGCTGCCTTGGCCTGCAGGATGGGATCTGGAAGCCCACAGCCCTGTAAAACAGGGTCGTGTGGGTGCAAATGATGTAGTAGTGCACTCTTAGTTAATGTATTAATTAACCAGGATATAAGTGTTCGCTATATACTGATCATTAATCAGTAAGGATGGCTCATGTATTTCATGCAGTTACTATATTTGTTCATGGTTTGTAATATTTGTTCAAGTTACTTGTGTCCCCTCAAGTAAAGTGTTAGTTTTATTACATTAATTTGCTGTTTGTTACTTTGTTCTCTGTCACTAGCTGTTGGTCAGGGAATGCTTGTCTACGTTTGATCAGACAGATCCTCTAACTGCCACTGAGAATCTTAAGCGGGTCAGTTGGTCTCTTGCTTGGCATCCTTGGACCGAACCATGGCAAAGCCTCATGCCGTCAGCCCAGCTGCCGCCCAAGGCCCCCGGCCCCTCGGAATGCACACAGCCCCAGGGTGGACCCTCCGGACAGGCACCGCAGTGGTAAGCTGAGAGGTGCTTCAGACTGCCGCCTGCTTATCGGCTGGCTCGCTGCATCACATGCCCCACTGAGCTCTACTGACATCCAGAGGCAGAGCTCACATCTTCTGCGCGGTGGGATTAGAACCCAGGTCCTTCCATCTCTGGCTGTTTTCTCCAGTGGGCCATCCACACCAGTCGTGACCTGTGACAGGATGAGCCATTAACTCTTCAAACTGCGGTACCTGAATTGCTTTAGTGAATAAGCTAACTGAGCTTTTACATTCAGTGCCGTTCATGCCCAATGGCATGTTAAATCACATGCTGTTTCTACTTTATCATTTTGCTCTTTATCACCATCGGTCAGTGTTCTGCTAGCACTCTGTCTTTCACTCGTATTGGTGTATGAATGTCTCTAGTGTCTCTAGAGATGAGAGTGGTGGATTTTTCGAGCTGTTTGTTATCATAGCTGTGTGCTGGAAGCAAAGTGTTACTTCTCTTCAAGTGCCCTCAGTGTTTTGGCAAAAAAAACAATGCAAATACAGAAACCCCAAACGAATGAAGTTACTTCACTCATTTATCTTTTAATAAGCTGAGAAATGAGTGATATTTTGGGATGTTTTGCAATGTTTCCTAGTAGTAGGACCATACTCTTCAGTACCGCCTGGATTTTCCTGAAAGTCCTAATTCTTTGTGTTACTGGGCTCCTGCTGGGAAAAAAAAAGCAAATTGTCTGCTAAAAGCAAATAAATGCAGTAATTATCACCGTGTCAGTGTGCGAGATCTTCTTTCGCCTGCTGTCCTGCATGCATCTGGGTGCCTTGTTGCGTTTATTTGAGTGGCGTATGGCTTAGCAGGTTTGGGACCTGTGTTCATGTTCAGAAGGTTATAGGTTTGAATCCCTCTTGGGCACCCAACCCCAACCGTCCAGGTGTGCTGTATGCTAGCTGACCCTGCCATACATTGGTTCTCACGTGTGATTGTGTATCTGTCTGAGTGGGGTGTGTGATAATAGGGTTGAATGAATCGTATCTATTACCCTGGTCTGGGGTGGTACAGTCCAGCCCCTGGTTCCCTGCCTGCGACACCCCTGCAGGAGGCAGTAATGCACTAAATGGAATGGGCTGTCTGTCTCACGCGCTGTGCTTTTCAGTGTCACATGAGTCATCTTCACAGGCTCCGGGAGCGATATGGAGCGAATAGCTATGGACAGCAGAGCTCTCTGCTTCTCCAGACACTGTGTAAAGTACTGCAAGGTGCGCGTTTCGAAGCGGGGGGGGGGGCACTGCTGCGTTTATCTGCTGGATCTGTGAGTGGTCTGAAGTGGAAGTCGCTGTGTTTACGCTCTGATGTCATAATCATGAGCCCAGCACTTGCCCATGGCATTCAGTCCTGAATAGATCCGTTTCACAAAGGACAATAATGAATACATGAATAGCCAAAATAAAGGCCGACGCAGTTTCCCTGTTACATGATTGAGGGCAAAATGTCACCCTTAATAGCTACAGTAACCTCCTCTAACATCTCGGTTCTTCTGAGCCCAAGTTCAGAAAAGAGTCGGATTCAGAGCTGGGATCCTTTGGATAATGAGTGCGGTAATGAGGAGGGTTTGATCTGGTCTAGAGCAGCACGGTTCTGTGACACCAGCCCCAGATTCCAGCCGTCGGCCCGACACGTTGCTGCTGAACAGCTTGCTGACAGAACAATAGACATCAGATACGTTTACCCTTTATCTTTGTTGTGATGTGTGAAAAGCTCCGTAATGATCGACAGCTAAATATAGCCGCATTACACAAAGCTGCCATAGCAACAAAAGGATGTTTAGGAGATGAAGTTTAAGTGCATAATTGCCTTTTAAATTCTTTTGAATGGAGGGAATTTTGCCTCCTGCACGAGCTTCCATTTCTGACTCTTTTTTTTTTTTTCCCCAGCAGAATAAAACATCTGTGGAAGCGAAAAGAGAAAAAAGAAAACAGTTTGAGCGCGGGGCCGTAATAAAACCCGAATTCCCGCTTGCCGTCGCCATGCTTGTCTGGAGCGCTAAGTCATGTGACACCCCCTTCCTCGTGCTCCGCTGCTCTGTAAAATGACAGTAAAGGCCCAGCTTCAGCGTGACACCCCCTTCCTCGTGCTCCGCTGCTCTGTAAAATGACAGTAAAGGCCCAGCTTCAGTGTGAAACGCCGGCCGCTGTAAATGCAGGATGGCCCAGCTGCGCAGTTCTTCCTTTATTTTCTGACATTACGGTTTTTCCAAGACGCTGATCCCTACTTGCGTTACGGCACCCATGTGGTTGGTTTTCGTACAAGGGGCACCTTGTCGAAGGCCATGTGCCGCACGCTTGGCCTGCAGCCGCTGGGGTGGTTTCACTGGC